AAAAGTCAGAATTCTGAGAAAAAAGTCAGAATTCTGAGAAAAAAGTCAGAATTCTGAGATTAAAGTCCGAATTTTTTCAGTGGCCCTAATCCTCTTCCGTACTTTTGTCTCTATTTAGGACTTTTGAATTTTTTTGCTTGCAGTTCCAGTGATGACCATTTGATGTCCTCAGTTGCTTTCCTTATTTTGCTCTTAAATCACCAAGTTTTATACAGATAATAAGCTGTTTCTTCTGTTTCTGCTCACAGTTTTTCCTCCCAAGACGTAGCAGGTGGCTTCTGGTTTTATTGTCTGGTTGGATTTGATTCGTTATTTATTACTTAGTGTTACGGCTGCAGTGGGTTTCTGCACTTTTCCTTGCAGGGTTCTGGATGCAGGCCTTCTGCAGGTGATCTGTTTTGCCCTAATTGGTGCTCGTCTGCTTTAAAAGCTGTCATGCAAGCAGCAGACAGGAGGCTTCTCTCTCTTACCTCCTCAGTATCCTTTGTATCCTGTCCTATGGTTGGGTTTTGTTAGGTCTGGTTGCATTTGCTTATTTCTGTTTAGTTATTGGTTTTGCATTAAGCCATTTCCTATTCCCCATTTTCAGGTATTGTTTCTTTAGTATAATTTAATAAATTCAATTTTCGATTTAAAGAAAATCCTTGTGTGGTCTCCTTTAATGTTACCCCCACCAAACAAGCCTGGTGGACGTCACACTTAGCGTTGACTCATTACTCAAACCAGATTCCTGCATCTTCCATCAATTCTCCTGACATAATCATGACTGACTTATTAAAATCTGTCCTTTTCAAATATTTTTTTTTAATTTTAACACAGTACTACATATCTGCTGGAATACAAGATGTTATAAGATTAAATCACATTCATTTTAGATTTTAGATTAATTAAAAAATGTAGGGTGAACAAACTGGGGCTGCTCAGTGGGAAGCACTGCTGCCTTGCAGCAAGAAGGTTCTGGATTCAACTCCCGGTCTGTGGTCTTTCTGCATGGAGTTTGCATGTTCTCCCTGAGTATGTTTGGGTTCTCTCTGGGTACTCCGGCTTCCTCCCACAGTCCAAAAACATGCCTGTTAGGTTAATCGGCTTCTCTAAATTGTCCTTAGGTGTTAATGGTTGTTTGTCCTGTTTGTCCCTGTGTTGCCCTGCGATGGTCTGGACTTATTGAAGGTTTTCTCTGGTATTATTGATATTTCTTTTATATTTTTTAAGGATGGAAGGCCTCCATGCCATTACCATAATCTTTAGCTACCTGCAATGATTCTTTATCAGGGTCAAGTTTGGACTTCAAAATGTTTCTGTCTCTCAGAAGAGACATTTCCGTAAATTTCAAACAGTGACATTAAACCTACATCTGTGTACCTTTCAAATAGTAAGATGCAAAAACAAGTGACAGTAATATCATCAGTCATTTTTTTCCAATGTTTATATAACTTTTTAGAACAGATTTCAATACTTTCAAACATATTTATTGTACTCCTTCAGATTTATCAGTCTTGGATTTTTTTTTTTCCTCCAAGACCAATGCATTAGAACTCTCTGTTGCATAGTCTTTGAACATGGATTTTCTAAAACAGGGGTAACCTATTAAAAATCAGCAGGGTCATAATAAAGATTTATTGTTGATTCTGTTCATGGTGGAGTATAAAATATGGAATATATGGAATATAAAATCTCATTGTTTTTGAAGTAGAGATAAAAAAAAATCTTTCAGTTTGGT